TAAATCCATAAGCCAATATCAATTCGTCTGTGTCATGCAGCGCAAATTAGCGCTGCACGACTTGTTAACGATAATTGTAATGTTACTCAAATTGATGATAGGCTGATAGCGATTCGACCATTGCATACCTAGGACGATATCAAACTTATCATCGTGGTCGAGAAAATCTCAACTCGTCTTCACCTCTGGAATACACAAACTTCATTGATGACTTGATTTGGCTTCTTCTTTGGAAAACCATTCGTTAAATGAATGATGATTTCTCCTTTCATGTTCAGCATGTATACGCTATGCTTAGTCATATATTGCGCTATACACAGTTGTTCGATCCCAATTCAATCAATTAAAGATCGTCGTGGTTTCTTAAGACCATCTACAACAATTTTTAAGATAATCAAAGCCGCACTTTGCATCACACTACTTTTATTCTTAGCGGAAACCGCATCTGCATTATTTAGTTAGGGGCCTGATTTCTGTGTATCCACAGCATCCATAGTACTCTACTCGTGCCCAAAGAGAGCCCCGCCCGTACCGTTCGTTCCCAATTGTTGCCTTGGTAGCGTTCGAATTGACAATCTTTATTCATCCGAACGATCACCCTCTGTTTGTTGCTGACTCGGTAAAGACACTCTGCGGTTCCCAGCATTATTATCCGTCTTTCAAAAACAGAAGCACTTTCCATCGTTGTGAGGACGCTTATTCTAGGCATAGAAATGTACACGATGTTCATTGGCTCTACACCATCACCTGTAGCTGTCTACTGACGCGCTTAGATTGAATCGATGCCATTCAGCTTGACTTGCTAAATGCTGAATTCTACTTGCATCGCACGATTGATTGCTTCATCCAGTGAGGCAAAGCTATCATGAAACCCTTTGATTTCACTTCGGTCCATCATTCAAACCAGCCACGAATGTTATGACTTGCATTGAAACGTCAAACAGCTTGTCAACAATGCTCGATACTAAATCATGAGTATTCTGTGCATACGAGTGTAGGTTGTGACGTCCTGGACGAGAATTCAAGAATTCGGTATGAACACGAAAGTGATTCTGTGGTGGTTCAAACGCCTTCTTAAGCTCAATCCTGAAATATCCGCGGCTGGGCGAGCATTTTAGATCGGCTAAACGCTTACTATACGCCCAACAATTCGCACAGTCCGCAAAGGTTGGACATCGTAAAAACAGCTGCTACAAAGCCTCTCGCAGTTATCTTGCAGTGATCGCTGCATCAAACTCGGCAGGACTTCGCGGAGGGCTTGCTTTCTCTACCATGATACAACGACGTTCAATTTCAAAGGCATCGTTCTGTACTATGAAACAGGAGTTGCGATCTGCTTCCAAAAATCCATAGTCTATTAAGTAGACAGACGCGTTCTTCTGAGCACCCGGAGAGGGCGACTGCAGTAAACTGACTATAGCAGCTTCTCCGATGAAATGAGGAGACATCTTATTCGTCATCACCTCAGTTTGTGGTACTGATGGACCTGAGAAGAAAAGAGAACCAACTCCTTCCATGTCACTCGAAAAAGGACAAGGGTATGGTTTGGACTTGATGGCGCGACATGCTAATCAGCCGCGTTGTTGACTCAAAAATGGAGGTTCGTTAGAGAGACCGCTCGAAAGGCTACTTGGTGTGAGAGGGCGCTGTTCACAACACTACCTCAAACATCGCACACACTCTCATGCGACGACAAAGCGATTAACAGCGAAGAGATGAAAGGACAGTCCAGACTTACAGGCAAAAAGAACGCCTCGAGGGCTGAACGAAAATTCGCAACTGAGTAAAATGAATTCATTGATTCTTAAACTACATGCAGAGCACTCCTAGAATTGAGCTGTTACTATTCAATTCCCGATTGCTAAAAACCTGATTCATACAATCAAGGATGTACTGAGCTTAAACTTCGGTTTGAACTTGTCCAAGCTCCTAGTGTGCACAGGGCTTGTACTTCAAACACATAAACTCGAACTTCCGCGGAAAGTTCCCAGGAGAAGTGACTGGCTTACGCCATCCCCTCTAAAATGCGACGACATGCCGGCCTAATCTCCGATACAGATCTTAAAGTAGAGTCAGTATTCTGTATCGCAAGGAATATATGTAGCTTCATAGAAGGTGTCATATATGCATATGAGTACACCATACTGTAATCTCTTTGTTATAAATTCTCACAGTGCAAACAGAAGGTACATCAACAGAAGGTACCTTCTGTTTGCATTGTGGGAATGGGCTGAGTGTAGCCCATTACAGTATAAGTCCAAATGTAAAGAGTTTTAGAAAAAGTAATCTCTGATTAGCAGGTCAATACAGATTTATTCACTTTAAGTGCTTCGGGATCCACGTCTACGAATTCAATCTCTGTGTGTTTGTCAGCGACAACTTTTTCAATCATACTTTCTCAAAGCAAAGTTCTCCCGCACTTATTATCCTGATTAGAGCCGATCCTTGAATACTCCTAAATGATCACAATTACACAATTATGCAGAATTGTAACTACAACAGCAAACCAGCTGCTCTTAATTGCGAAATAATGTTTTTAGGATTAAGTTTAACATAAAATGTGACTGATCATATTTGCTTAGATAGGTATTCCATTAAAACCCATTTCAATGCCAAGTCTAATAGTAAGTTCTTTGGTCATCTTAGAAGGGTACGTATCACGCTCCAAAAACTAATTCTCTACCCTTCAAAGCACATCGAAGTTCTGACTGTTTGATTTATACGATAAATTGGGATCTGTCATTGAAAATGGAAATAGGATCTGAATGAACAGACCAGATATCCCAGCCTTCGAATAATTGCGAGTTTTAGCGACACTGGGTACCTCGAATTTTCATGCAATATTTATGTTGCTTTGGTGTATCAGATATTTCGTCAACTTCTAAATTATTGATGCGATTTTGTTTGAAATCGTATGCAATTTCCTGTGTGAGAAATCTATTACGATCGTTTTTTAATAATTGCTGACATCTTTACCGAGAAATCATTATTGTTTAGAAAAGAAAAGAACAGTAGCTACACATATCATGAGGCAGCGATTGCATGACCGCAATGTTCAAGGAGCTTGTACCGTAGAAACGTCTAAGCCTCTTCGAAGCAAGACATTCTTTCATTCCCAATATTGCAAGCAGGTAAATTCGCACTAGTCTGGAACTAGAGCTTTAAATACATTTTTTTGTCAATCATTCGGCACGACTACTTTGATCAGCGCCTTAAAAAATACTATTTTCTGCTGAAATTAAAATCGGAAAACCGAAAACAATCTCTTAGTAACTTCTGAGGCCACCACAATCTTTTAGCATCTATAACATCTTTCCTCTGCACGGGCTAGATGTTCCAACTCTACGTTTGATATCGTCAAGTTATATCTTTTGAAGAAACAAATCAGCAATCATTATATGCCTTATAATTTTTATTCAAATTCAATAATTTGATATTGACATAAAGACTATTCTGTCTAATGTACCGAGACATATACTCGAAATATTGGTGAAGTGTCGAGCAAGCTCCAGTATTCAGATCCTCAAAATGCTCCAGATGCCATTAGTAATAACTTCCGTAACCTGGTGAGAAAACGTCTTCGAGGACTCATCCAGGCAAATTATCGCAAAGCAATATGACGTTGGCGATAAGACAATAAGAAAGCTGAAAGCTACAAAGGATGGAATCTGGAAAAAGCGCGATCGCACCAAGAGACTAGTGAAAAGCCTATCCAAGCGTATTCTTAAACTTGAAAAATAAAATTTTATTGGATCGAAAGCTAACCGTCATATCGTACTAACTCCAACGCCAACCACTAGGTGAAAGCAATCGTCGCTGCCTTAAATTTTTAAGAAGATAGCTTCGTGGGGCAGGTAAGCTAGATTCTGCTATCCATTTCGCCTCGATAACACCAAGAATGTGATGAAGTTGACAACAACAATTCATCAATGCTCTGCAGGAGTTAGAGTTTGTTATCGACCGAAACGACCCGTCCTGCGTTTACAACATGGATCAAAAAAGGCCGCTGGCTCCCTTATATACTGGTTATTGAATCCGTTTGACTGATAAATATAGTGTAATCCTTATCGATTGCTGCCACGCTTCAGGGACTGAGCGTGCGCCAAAGGTTTTATCCATTCGACGGATAAAGAAAGCAAAACAAAGTGTGATCCTTATCGTTTGCTGCAACGCTACGGGGACTGAACGTGCGTCCGAGAGAAGCAAAAGAGCCAACATGCATTACAGGAAATTTTTTACTGATGTGGCACATACACGTTCCGACTTTTCGCCCGGAGACGTACCGATCACAAGGTGCTATAGATTATGAGCTTTGCACCAGATCATGCATCAGCGTATATCCTAACGGAGTTCGTGTCGTGATCTTTACTCCTAATGTGACGTCTGGAAGCAGCTCATGGGCATGGAAGCAGCCTTTGGTCAGGAAAGTCATTGCAACCCTAACGAACTTGTATAAGGAATTGATCAAAGGACAATTATGACGTCTTTAAAACTGTAAAGGCTTAGCTGTTGCTAAATCAAACGCAGAGCAGCTAGAGTGGTCATCTGAAGGCCACCTCACATGCTTTACGCAGCTAGCCTTGTCTGCATTGAGATCTTCTTGCGATGCATACAATTGTTTCAAACAGCTCGAACTTTTGCGGCACCATAGAAATCAACTATGAATCCGGTGACCTTGACGAGATTGTCGAGCTGTTGTAAATTTGTTTGATCTTGTACAACTCTGAGATCGTAAATATGCGCGACGAAGTGCAGCAGTACATTGATGACGACAATACCAATCCGACACTCTGAGTACTTGATGACCTATGAATAAAGCTCTCGTGCTCGATACAGGCTCTGACGTAGACGATAATTACCCTGGCGTCGATGAAGTGATCACAAAATTAGCTGCCATTCACCAGCGCGAGACGACGGATCGTTCGCAGAAAGATGTCATCGGAAAAAACATATTAGGCAAAGTATGCCTTTTGCCTTCCGACGCGTCTTCAGAGCAGGCTCTCGGTGATAACATGTTAGGCTTAGCGCAATAGCCGCCAGATGACTCTACGTGAATTCATGCATAGAATAACCCGAAAAGCTTTGATCTCGACACGGACATCAATAGTTAAAACGAAACCATTCTCTTGCGGCCAAGCATAGCTCATGTCGTTCTTGCCTTACGCTAGTTTCTTAACGAATACAAGCACATTTTACAGCTAAGTAGGCTTGCAAGTTAAGCATATTTTGCTCGCCGTAACCGCCAGTCGAGCTCTTTTATCCTAATATATCGGGATCTCCTTTGGCGCAGGGGCTGTGCTGTAACAAATAAGGTCAATGTATCAGAGCCGGCCAATACCACTTGTCAACGGTCTAATCAAATTTGAGGTAAGAGATGGCAACGGAGAAGATTGGACCATGAGTAAACTGAAGCTGAACATGAGTGACTCGGCCCAGCAAACAAACATTGAGCTGACAGTGAAAAAGACGAGAAACAGTCCATGTAACTCGTCAGATAACCATACACACGACCAGTAGAGACCACACTTTGTATGGAGTAAAATTCAAGAATCAATATCATCGACACGATCGATGCTTGAAAGCCTAAAAATCCTAAAACTTCAATGTTTGAACTCACATTGCACATCTGACCACAGCTTAAATTTTAACATTTGACGTGGCATAGTACGCAGCAGCGATGAGTGCGTACATATCGCCACGTATCCCACGACTGCTAGTACCATTAGCAGACGATGTATACTCAGTTGCAGAAATTACAATTGGTCCACTGAATGTAATTGTTGAGCCAAGGTAATAGCAAGCCGAGAAACGCGTCTTCAGAAACAGGAAGCAAAAGAGCGCCACAAAAGTCACTGTCATGTTCAATATGAGACGCGTAATTGACATAATCGAAGGCCTTACAGCAAAATAGTTGCCTTCTACGTCGAGAAAAGCCAAAATAAGGTGAAAGTACCAGCGTAAGTCCGAGAAGTAGCCTTGCGCACGTAGCAGACAGTGAAATACACCGCTCCACGCACCACGTACAGACAAGTGCTCTGTAGCGTTGGTAGACTGGCATTTTCAAGTATCAAATACTTGGACAGAATACCCGACGCCGCATCAAGCATCATGATAGCCTGGCCAGAGCGGAAGTAGATGCACTGGCATTTGAAGTCATCTTAAGTGATTGTTGCTGGTGCTGATAGGAAGTGATAGAAGACAGTCGACTGACTGTACAAGCATCAAGATTGTCAGCATGAAATGTGATGTAAAGCGCTACTTTAAAATCAAAGAGCGAAATCCTATAAAATGTATCCGAAGTAATGTTATTTTTGAATTTAAAGCCACGTCTTTTTATGTCAGTGCTTGTAATATTGTGGGGATCAAGTGCTTGAGTCGTCGATGCGCTAAAATTCATTAACGTCGACTTGATTTAAATCACGACATGAGGGTATAATCACCCGCTACGTTAGCATTGTGTGAAGGCAGATTTGATCGCCTATACGTACGATAGATCGTAAGCGACCAGATACTACTGCCTATCTTGTTAGTATTTTTTATTAAAATATATAACATTGAGTTGTTAAGATATTTGATCGGCTAATACGTGACAAAAACGTAAGCCATACACTTCAGGACTAGCAAAGATAAAATGATGCAGCAGTACTTCCTTCCACCTTTAGGTGGTGAGTAAAACGTGGTGGAAATGAACAGTGACTAGCAATAGATATGTCAAATTATATTTATCTGCTAACAGAAGCATCACCAGCAAATCGAGTGACAATTATAGCGAATAAGTGCTCCTTTGCGTCAGGTCCCATCCCCCAATACTCTAACTGGTGCAATAAAGTCATGATATTGCCGTCGTCATCAGGATAAATGCTAACACCTCATTCCATAAGGCTATCGATTATCAAATTATAACGAGGCGTTTATCAATGATCTTTATTGTCATTCAGAAATTGGTGGCTGTATTAACAGACCGGCTTTTTATAAAAAAATTGCAGAGACTGTAGCGGCACTGATGCAATACATTTAGCTTTAAGGGATGCGCATAGGATTGCATCTGCCTTTAAGATCCAGATACGGCATTGAGCTCACCTATCACTATCACTCGTATTTTAACGAAGCAGCTGAATTACACATTAAAGACAACACAAGAATTCATCAAAAATGACAGACAGGCAAACTGCAAACACTTTTAACACTGCAATTATGAGAATGACAACCAGCCATATATATTTCCTGTAAGAGCTAAAAATGATATTACTTTCAAACAGGATTAGGGCAGGGACTGTCAGCTGTCGTTTCTGACAAGATTCGAAACCTTCCTGCTAACGAAGTGCTGCATTGTGTCTTAAAAATGGTAGCACTGGATGTCAAGCAAACGTCAGCACGTCCAATACATGATGACTTTTCCTAAATATATAATGATATGACCCCTCCGTGCTTCGACTTTTAAAATGAAAGCTTAGAACACATGTGCGGTATATACATCTCGCCGGAGGCACTTAAAAATTATGATTTCTAGGTTCCGCTATCATATGCACGTTCAGCAACTTGCGATCAAAGATAAAGGTCTGAACAGGAGAGTCTCACAATAAAAACCTATCGCAATGTTAATATGTTTTTACGATGTCGAAGTGGAAACTGAGCTACAGGTTTTTTGCTGCCTAAAACGGATCATCACAGATTCAAAATCACCTACAAGCTTGCCTTTGTGTCAGCTAGACTGAGCGTAGATCCCTTATTGCTGTAACTTAGCTCAACGAAGACGTCTTAACGTCCAACGACCAACTAAAGTATTCTGCGTATTCGCGTTAAGTGCTGATTATATCTTTAGCTGTACAGCAGCATTCAGCAATCTTTTGGTGCATGACGTAGACGATAGGTAGTGAAAAATCAGCATAGTTGTTATCAGTGGGTGTATCCAAGCTTCATCATCCACATCATAGTGGAGATTGAGGCGGAAAAGGACGTCGGGAACTATCGTGTTCCTAGATGCGTATATTTTAAACGTACCTGTGATACTTGGGAACTCGTCTACATTTAAGATAATCGGTCAATAAAGCTACAACAGGTTGCTTCGCTTTTTGAAATCCGCAGAATCCTGTAATAGCTGTGATTGACACACTGTGAGCTGTGTATCTCACAAAGCTATTGCCCTCGTGTGGCTGATATTAGCAGGGAGGCGATAAATCTGCTTTGATCATCTTCTATCAAAGAGATACGGTGCTAAATAAATCATAGCTGATTTACATTTGAGGTGATTTTTTTACCTCACTCAAATGTTCTGCACATACGCATTCTATAGTTAAACGCATTGAACCTCAATATCTGCATACTTTCGTCCCAATCGAATTCTTCTAAGCTATGGCGTAAGTCAATCAAGAACGCAATCAACAAAGCAATTCAAACAATTAATTGGGTAAAGCAGACAGGTATGCAACTAGAATAACACGCCCTTTTGATCGCAACTGACTAGCCCGCAGCCATAAAGTTCTTGATTTCACAAGAGGCTCGAACACCACATTTTCTCAATATCATCAAAAATCAAACAACGAAGATTGTTTGATACAGAAATGCTGCTTCTGTTTTCATTACGAACTATGATCATCGTTCTTGTTGGTATTCATACTTGTTCTGCTTACCTTTCTGTTAAGAGACGAGATGAGGAGCCAAACGGAATCAGCAGCTCCTTCATGACCACTAATATCCCGAAAAGCATAACAAGCCACAGTTCTGCACCGAATAAAAGCGATTCTTTCATCGAAGATGAAAATAGCGAGGCAAGGGGTGGATCAGTAGGGCTTTCCATCGCAAAGATGGGCAAAAAGCTCTCGAACACGAACTTTGAACATGGACTTAATGTTCTAGAATCTCCATTGCATGGCGTCACAAAAGCTATTGAATCGGCAACAAGTGAAGCCGGTAGAGAGCTGACTGTTTTAAAGACCTTGTTTGAAAACAAGAAATGGAGAGAGATGATTGCGGAGTTGGATGTCTCGTGGAACAAGCGTGTGATCAGATATTGTGTCTTTAATCACTGCCTGAAACTTCATGAAAGTCCGATTGATTTATTTCGATATATGAAAGTCCGACTCACTTATTCCCCGAATGGCATAGAAAGTATCGACCCAAAGCTTCTCTGGTGGTTAGAATACATCAGCATGTATAGGCTGATCGAAAAAAACATTCCGAATGACGAGGATACGAGCGACACGGCTTCGAGTCTTATTGGATTTGGAAACAAAGAGCTATCGTCATTTTTGGTCACAGAGTATGGCTTGCAGACTGCTGGAATGGAGACGTCGTCGGCAGTTGTTACACTCGGTCTGACACCAATAATCCCGCATCAACAAGTGGTGACACTTTTCGAATTGCTTCGCCAAAGTCACGAAATGAAAATCCAAAAACTAGTTGAAGACATGCAGAAGTACTTGGTGACGAAGTCGGATGCTCAGAAGTTGGTGCTACAGACGTGGCTGATAGACCGCGTATCGCCGTGTGTCATATTTAACATTTTAGGTGTGAAAATTCAGCCTGGTCCGATTGGCGATGAAGATGTGCTTGTTTTGTGGCTACAGTATGTCGAGATGTATTGGACGGTTTGGCATCCAGATTCTTTTGAAAACAGCTTCAGATATTCCACGTTTTTGGATCTTCTCGGAGAATCATCAAGCGATAACACAGCGGAGACGCTTTTCACGGACTCACACTATAAAATACTCGACAAGAAAGTGGTTTTCGGGTTTGGAAGCCACTTAGATAATTTGAAGGCAATGTGGATAAGGCGGCGCTGGATGTATAGTGGCGCAAAGCCTCAACAACTTTTTCGCTTTTATTTTCCATCAGGGGAATTTACGTATCGAAGTCGAGATACTTTGCAGGCTATCGAGTTTATCAACCTTTACCGATTGCGCAAGACGTTTACCAATGAAGAAGTGTTTAACATGCTGAGTCCAGCGAATTCGGTTGAAAATATAGTGGATATGTTCCAATTGATTATGACCCAACCTAGGTTGGAAGACTTAGCAATCGGTATGCTTGATTACATTTCCGATCCTTCGACTATTATAAAAGTAGATGAGATGACTCCGCCCATCTATTGGCAAATTTTCGTAGCTCAACGCGCTGATAATGAACTTTTGCTATCGAGATGGCACGAATATACCACTATGTGGAGTGTTAAACACAAGCTGGCATTTGAAGACGTGATGAAGCTGGATGTGCCGACTAGTCTTCAAGTGGCCGAACGGGAAACTCTTAAGCGAAAATCTGCCGCGGTAGTGCATACTAACGAGTTGCAACGGGAGGGATCACCTGCTCAGAAGAAGCTTAGAAGAAACCCTTAGTATAATGAAAATGAAAATGCTTGCTGGAGAGAATTCTGAATTGGCAAATATTTTTATTGTTGTTCTATGATTTCTATGCCCTTATTGCTAAATATTAGACCCCTGCAGTCAGGTTATCACTATAAAAATTGCAGTAATTTATAGCGAATGCATTTTTTAGCAGAATCATAGCGTGAAAATGATTTTTCTCCGACTTTGATGTGCACGTCATTTGCTGGATATAGTGCAGTGTATTGTTGCTTTAAAGCGAGTACAAAGTTTGTGCGTACAAACTTTATTGTTGCAATATATTCTAGCCTTAAAGCGAATATAAACTCTGTTACTTATTGAACGCAAACTTATTATTTTTGTTTAAGCTAATACGAAATATGTACGTGAGCTTCTAATTCAAGAGGGGTACATTTCTGGCAATGTGATAAGTATCAATTTTACATCAAAGAAACAAAACCCTGTGTACTGCATAACGCACGTGCCCTACGAACCTCTATGCACTTGTAACTTCTGAGCTTTGGTCTCTGTAGAGTCCTATGCGCGCGGATCCTCTGCTCACACTAACAAAGAAATAAGCACCACAATTCAGCTCCGCAGCCCTCTCTGAACCCTTATGTACCGTACCCAATACACATATTAGCTCGACCCACTCGTCACTCAGCAAGCCGGCCTCAGAGAAGTGGACGTCCGATTAAAGCATCACTTTACGCATCACTTTGCGAAGTTTATAACACCATCAAGATGGTGTAGTGGACACCTACAGGCTTGATCTCTCATTGTTAACAAACCCGTTCCTTTCCATGTCACAGCTATCAAAGTTATCGTTCAAGTGCCAAATTTGTAGCAAGAACGGCTGCCACTCGCAAGTGGGAAGCAAGCTGCTCCGTGCAAGCTTGCCACTTCTCCGGAGGTCACAAAGCCGAGAATGTATTAGGTGGAAAAGACCTTAGTAAGCGATATATTGGTTGCCTGATCGTGCGTGTTACGCAACACCTTTAACGTACACGACAGAGGAAAAAGATTTCAGGGGTCAAGTGTAGCAAGCACTTCATTCACGTGCAACATCATTTGAAATGTCGCAAATGTTTTGTATCAATCAGAACAAAGTGGTTATGTAACAAAAGGGAGTCTTGACATTGACATAAAAATCAGAAACAGAACAACGGTTTTTTGCTTTGACTATCTCGTTGGTGTTGCACTCGACGCGTCAATTTAGATCGAAGGAATAACATGGACAATCGCATCGCTGAGATGAACTTTAATGGAGCGTTCTAGTCCAAGAAGAACATTCTGCAAGATTTCCCGATCGAGAAACCTGGCCACCCAAGACTATACCTATAAGTTTGGCTGATTCTAGTTACAAAACCTATTGGACCCCTTCAAGAATAACAGCTGAAAGTATTTCAGCTGTAAATTTACCTCTTTCGATTGAATTATATTTACCTTATATCCCGAAGCTTCATTCTAGATGAGTATGTGTTCCGCGTTTGATGAACTGCCGTCGAGCTCACCCTATAACATGTGGTCTTAAGCAGCAATGGATTCACGAGGACTTCGCAAACTATAATCCCAATCTCCTGTGCGTTTTCATCCTCTACGTATCCGATTCTGGTACCAGCTAGCCGACCGACTAACGTTTTACGTGAGATCTGCTCATCGAGTATTGCTGGTGGATGTACACTCTCTCGCTGCTTTTGGCTCTCGTTATCGTTATCTTTCCTGGCGATACGTCGACTCTCGGATTGTTGACATTTGTCCGGAGCTGTGTATAATTTAGCCCTTGGAGATTCTTTATAAGCTGCGCAATCACACGGCGTGACTTGAAACGTCCCCAGTAGCTCGAATCCGTCTCGCTGTTCCACCTCAGCCACAGCGATTAGTAAAAACCCTGCTCCATACCGATAGAATGCTTCACATCTCACTGGCTCGTAACGTGGATCATGATATGGCTTCAGTCTGTCCACGAAAACTGCGACATCCAATGTAATCTGTATTAGTGGGATCAGATCGCTTCAGCACCACGGTGCCATTTGACATCTACAATTAGTGCCAGGCATCTTCATTAAAGTTTTGCTGTGATACTCGAAGCTAGATTAGGTCCAACATCTTGGCTACCGGTAGCACATGTTGGTGAAAAACGTTTCGGAGAACAAATTGGTTAAACCTTCTCCAAATTGGTATCGCTAATAGCTCAGGCAATTCTTAAAACTTATGCAAGACCAAAAATACAAATCCATGTGTATAAACTCCAAAACTCTGTCGGGTTCGGCCAGGCACCAACGCACGTGGCCAGGTTTAGTTCATTCAGGGCTGTAAAGCAGAAAGCGTTTCGAAAAAGAATAGCGGTGCAGAAGTGAAGCCGTGTGTTTCGATAACGATATTTTTCTCTTTTTAGAATCTTGATTTTCAATGCCTTCAGCAAACAACATGTGTAGTATGACGCGTACGCTGTACGTATCTCCTTATCAATCGGTGACATCTTGAACGTTGCATCCGACAGTTCATAGTCTCGGCGTGATAGAACATCCACCACTAGATAAAGCCGACCCTGCTGATGCCCACCCTTAAGCTATACTACACAGAAAGCTTAACTATCTTGCCTTTTTCTTGAGCGATATGGTGATGGTGTTGATGTGTGCAACAACACATAACGTGTATAAATTAGATGGGCTAAAGTTAGGAAGGAACATCACGCATTTCACAAGAGATTACTTTTCTGCAATAGCACCTCGTCGCGAGCAGCGTAGTTCTACTTTGCCGCCTTAAACTAGCGAGTCTTAAAAACAATCATGTGTTCGAGCCCACCACAGTTGCTCGGAATAAGACACAGCCTATGATAGCAGCTAAAGCATCATAGGTGACAGGTAATCGCTGATCTGGACTCAAAAGCGCAAAAATAGAAGCTTGCATTAAGCATTCTGTAACACTCTAAATGAGCGTTTTGCTCTGCCTCAACCAAGCATCATTTTACATCTTGTTGCAAAGATCAGCAAGAGATCAAACCATCTCGACATAATTTGCACGGTACTTGCGCAAACAGTTGTTCAGACCGAATCACTTCACTACACACCTTTGAGGCAAAGTCATCAGCCAATCAAGGGCTGGCAGGGTCTGCCCATTCCCGCTAATTCCCCAAAAAGGGGTCCTAGTTTATGATAAGGACACATTTGATTAAGTTTATGAACGACTTGTTGAAGCGCAAAGGCCTTTGCAATTGTTTATGTGGCTTGCTACATCTAGTTTTTGGCTCTCTGCATGGCTGTGGACAAATATATAGTCAAGAGATATGTGCACAGCCTTGATGATGTCTGAAAAGGCGGCTTCATCAGATGACTGGGTATCGCTATTGCGTCGGACGGTCTTTGCAGCATAACTATGCACTCTAATATCATCCCGTTCGAAATATTTACTGCAGTGCTAAGGAAACAGCCACAGTTATAATACTCATAAATCAGGTGGAAATGCGTGGATCCTGCTGTTTGATTCTCGCAAATGTTATTTGTGATTGAACAGCGGCCCCATTTAGCTTATCATAAGCATACACAAGTAGCCGCTTGTCATTTACCTTTTAGACACAAAACGCGATACGATGGGGAGAGATTTCTCTCTCCGGTGAAACCCGATCTTGCGTTGCACATAAGTGCGATTCTATCAGATCACACTTTTCGCTTTGTTAGTATCGTTGTAGCGTGACGCAATTGTCGATTCCGGGAACCAAGTCAATCACAAGACACACAGTTCCATGCTGATGCACCGCAAATGGTGGGTCACGTCGTGATATTTTTTCGATAAGATAGAATGATCTGCAGGATTCTCAAAAATCGCCGTCTTATTTTTCATAATTATTGTTCCGCTAGTATCAAAAATCACGGATTCATCCATGTCGGATGGCGAGCGCATGATCTGAGCCAATTTAATTATTTTATAATCTCGCATGTCTTTCATACATCCCATAAAAAATATTATTTGTCTAATATGAGCTTCTGTTTGTGAAAGCATGGAAAGTATTATGAATTCTCAAAGCTATGACGATCCCTTTGCGCTCGAGAGGATGATCTTTCTCACCATACGATCTGCGGGGCTACAGTGATTCGAACGATATGTGCGTCGCACTGAGGTGCTGAGTGAACTGTAACATAACTCAGTGACAAGAATTAGCTGTATTGTAAACCTCCAGGACCTGATTCTTCCGCTTGTAACGCAATGTTGTTTTTCAGCTCTACCAGCCCCAGAACAAAGACCGCGACATCAAATTACTTCTTCTCTCCGCCGGATTGGGTCCAGACGACATAGCTTGCTGCGTTCCATCACTATGTTACATACTGCGCCAAAGCTATTGTGATGTCATGCCCGTGATACAAAAGGTTCTACTTCATGGCGGGGGAAATAATGACACACAAGAGATCAACGAGGAATAATGTTCGTGGCGTAAATTTGCTCGCTTCAACTAGACTCATGTCTCATGGTACGCTTTACAGAAACTTTGTTATATCTCAGATCCAGAAACATGTCCAAAGAACGCTGCAAGCAACCGAACGCCGCAGTTATTTCACCTAAAGGATCCACATTACTCTCGGAATGCCCCTGTCATGCCTTTTACGGAATGCATGATACATTTGATTTTTTATCAGGACTTTGAATGGCTTCACAAAGATTTTACCATTAATGTCAACAGCCACTCAACCTCTGAACACAAGGTCCAACTTCCGGATCGAGAGTCGCTTCTTTGGAGCTGGATTTCAGTGACCGCGCATCCACAGAGTATTATAGAGCTCGCTTCTTTCCCGCTTCGCTACCCTGAACCGACTGTTTTTTGCGAAGTTTTTTAGGGCGACCCTGCGAAGGAGCCCGGCCCTTCGTGCCTTATAACTCAGTACATAAGGGGCACGCAGTGAGAAGATATCTAAAACTAAATGGGAGAAAAACTGTGATTTCATCAAAGCTCTGGTAGCTAAGCTTTCTCTCTAGGTCTCTTTGGCATGGCTGGACGCCATCATCTATTGTGCCTTATAGATGTCCCACTTTCGGCATTTCATTTGGCTCTCAAAGTACGGAAGTTGTAATTCGCGTTAAATCTGACATCCAACAATTTCTACAGAAATCGTGCTTCTGTAACACGATTTTCATGAACATAATTGCTGTTACCGCCTTCTCATAATGGGCTAACGTCATCGCGGCAGTAAGAGCATTTAGCACCTGGATACAATTCGCTTGTTCGCGTCTTCGTTGATTAGGCGCTAGGATCTTCTTACAAAACCCCTTACGGATGATTGGGCGGTGCGAAAATTCGCGGCATATGTTGCTTCAAGTATTTATATGCTGGTGCAACCTCTTGCAAAACAGTTCAACGCATTTGTGCCTATTCTTGTACACGGATTTCTAGTTTGGATGCTGGAAGCGCGCTGCGCTGTTGCTTCCTGAGAGAAGATGTCCCAATGTTTTGACATCTTAACTTCTCGTATTCATGTGGTGAGAATTTTATCCATCCTTGCCTCCAGAAGTCTGGACGCTGAAAAGCAGCGACATCACACTCTGTGTCATCGGTACTCCAACTGACACCAAAATGTAGCGCTTAAGAAGGTGCTGATCCAGAGCACTCAAATAGCTGGTAAAATCTCTCAAGAAGAACACTATTCACATGTCGTTATTTATAAAGCCGCCATTCACATAGAGCCATTAAGCCGCCATTCTTCTGCCTTTTCCGACAATCATCAAACGCAAGCTCTCCGAGCATGTTTACATTTACTTTGAAAGCAAACAAGCCGCGTGTTCACATGATTATTTTCCACTTTCATCCAGTAGTGGATTAGACCACTAATAAAATGTAGTGGAACGGATGTCATGCACCATGTTTTCGACTCAAGAATTCAGGTTAACAAACGCACAAAGGCTGAGTTTGCTGGCTGTACCAAGAAACGGAATCGACAGGAATTACACTAAGGATCTCTCTTTTACGGAGTCGTATTCTCTTTGATAATACCGATACAAAGATACGTCTG